GCATGCATTGCCTACATGATAGAGTCATGTGCATGCCACTTTAGCATTGAAATATGAGCATGTTGTTTGCATTGCATTATGTTTGGATCGGACGTTAATCCAAACACGAGGAATGTGGCACGTTTCATACTCAAAGCGATAAAACGTGTTGCATTTCTTGGTCGCCAACCCTCATGATCATGCATGATAGAGGTGGAGGCTCTTATGTGTTGTTTGTGCATTCACTAACATTGTGCGAGTTTGGCTCTTTGGCCATCATGCATTAAGATGCGTGATTGGTGGCTTGAGAGCCGAGTACTATGCTCCTTTGAGCTTGAGAAATGATAAGGAGAGTAGTTGCACACATTTCCTTGCAAGTACATTGCTGTGCCTTTGTTGATCTTTGTTGTAGCAAAATTGAGATTCTGGAAAGGGAAGTGGCCAGTCGGCCAGTTGAGGTAGCCTGCCGACCAGTTGAAGTGGCCGGCCGGCCACTTGCAGTAAAATTTTCCAAAATGCTCCTGTTTTGGGGCAAATGCAACCTGGAGGTGTATTTGATGTTCTGAGATCACCGTGAGTGCAAGCAGAGACAACTTATGGCAAGGCAATGCATTTTCCAGGTGAAGCAAACTGAGCATGCATGTCTCCCTTCCCTCGAGGCCATTTTAACTGCTTTGCTTAGTTAGTTAATTTACTGATTTTGTAATTAATTAGTTGATGTATTTAGTTGATTTATTTCATCTTTGTAATATTCTAATTAGCTTAGTATAGCTAGTTTCGATTCGGTTTGTAATTAATTAGCTTAGCATAGTTGATTAGTTGATTTGTAATAAGTAGCTTAGCTTAGCTCTTATTTATTCGGACCCTTCGTCGAGAGGGCAAATGTTGAAATAAGTGTGCGTGCGTGTGTGAATGTCTTCCAACCCCACGTCTTTCTCCCTTTTATTTACCCGCTTTCGATGGTCAGTTTTAGGGCATGTTTTGATTAGCATACCTTATGCTTTACATGCGTGCATCATTCATTTGTCTTGCATGCACTGGGCTCGGCGCATCACTCAAACTGCATTGTATTTCAATACACTTTCATGAATACGTGTTTCAAAGCATGTTATCAAGTGTTGCATTCATATGCCATTCTAGATAGCCAAGCCTATTTTAGTTGCATTTTTGCATGTGTTGCATTAGGCATTTAACATAGCTAGGATCATACATTAATTTCTAACTAGTTTTCTGTTTGGCTCGGAGTACACTGTAAGTGTTTACACTTTAGCATCCTTGCATGAGTGTAAGTGATTGCCATGACAGCATGCTTGCCATGAGGCTATGTGCTTATTTGATAAACTGCATGAATGCCTGTGGATGAAGGCTTCATTACTTGAATTGGAACAATTTATCAAAATGTGAGTTTTAAGCCCACTTGAAGTGGCAAATTATCATGTTTTTAAGCCCACCTTGTTTGGTGGCAAATTCGCGTTTTAGCTTACTTGCGAGTAGCATCTTCAAACCACTTTCGAAAAACAAACATAAGATGCTTTGTTCCAAATCGAGCGATTTAGTCTATACTTGTGTGTTGTGCGCATCACAAAGTAAGTTAGCTAATAATCAAACAAGAAAACGTGTTTTCAAAAACAACATATCACGTTAGTAGAGGTCGATCCTTTGATCGGGTGAGCAGGGGGTCCTTATTTCATGACCTTCCCCCCTCATACTCAAGTTCCCGAGCTGAGGCAACTTTGGTGATGACGGACATGTGGCCTTTGGCACGAGTCAGGGTTTCCTAAATTTCCCAAAACAAAATATTTAGGTGGTGACTCTGAAATCTGGCAAAGCAGTCCATGTTTGGCGCTTTTTGATTAAAATCGATTTGTCGAATTTAGACTCTTTGGTGATTTATCAAGTCTTACATTGCACTTTGTGAGATTAGATTCAGAACTGTGACAGGAGTCCGAACTGTAGTAGCTAGAACCCAATTCGCGGCCTCGCGCGCGGAGCGAGTTCCGAGCAGTCTACAAAGTACAGGTTTAAGATGATAGTAGATTTTCTCGAGTGGTCACTAGGGGTAATTGTCGATCCCATTGAAAATTAATCTCTCATGTTTTCCCTCTTTTTCTAGATTTCTTTCTTTGAGGGTGGGAAATGGTGAAAAAATTCATTTATGGGAGGATATTTGGATTCGAAACTCTTCTATTGATGTGTACTTCCTACGTCTTTATAGGTAACAAACTCTTTATCATTCTTCCATCACTTCTTTGGCAAGCTCTAATTTGGCTTTGATTGCTTGGAACTTTAGTTTCTCAAGAAATCTTACTGAAAGGGAGATTGGCGATTTAGCTTCTTTGTTGTTTCTTATTGACCATTTGCCTTTGGACCGCAATGCAAGTGATAAACAGGTGTGACTCTTTCATTCTTCAAGTGTCTTTTCTTGCAAATCTTTTTTTGATAATATTATTGAGAACCCAACTATTTCATTATTTTCTTTTCACTAAAGACTCTAGAAGTTTTTTGCGCCTCTCAAAGTTAAGTTTTTTTTTTTTGTGGTCTTTGGTTCATGTAAGCATTTTGACGAATGTTATTTTTCAAAAGAGGAGCCCTAATCGCTATCTTTGTCCTCAATGGTGTATCATGTGTAAGGGCAATGGGGATACTTTGAATTATCTATTTTTACACTGTCCAGTGGGTGTAAGGGCAATACGGATACTTTGAATCATCTATTTTTACACTGTCTAGTGGCAAGGTGGATGTAGCAGCAGTTCTTTTCTTTGGGTGACCTTGCATGGGTGGCTCCCGAAGCAAGCAAATCCATGCTCTTAATTGATTTTTGAGTTTTTGGCACCAATAAAAAGGCTAAGGTGTTGGGGCTTTGCGCGCTGTATTGGCAATTTTTTGGGTTATCTAGCTGGAAAGAAATGTGAGAATCTTTGAAGATAAAAGTGTTGTTGTAACCTCTTTGTGGGAAATGGTTAGATTTGGCATCTTTTTCAGCTTCAGTCGCTCCCCTGTTTAAAGGGATTCCGCTTTTCTTGATCTCTAGTTATTGGAAATCAGTGTTTTCTGTCACACCCCAAATCCAGGCATGACCGGCCGTGGCCCACAGGGACTTAGCCCAAGGCACACGTAAGCCTAAACACGAATCCAATCACATTGAACAACTGAACAATAGTCCAATAATAAATAACCAAAACTCAATCCAGACATGCCACAATTATAAACGGGATTTGGCATCTTTTTCACCTTCAGTGGCTCCCCTGTTTAAAGGGATTCCGCTTTTCTTGATCTCTAGTTATTGGAAATCAGTGTTTTCCTTCACAGATTTCTGCTTTGGAAATCAGTGTTTTGAGGTCCTTCTTGTAAACATCTTTATTTTTTCTCTTTTTAATAAAAGTTCATTATGTTGCTGATAAAAAAGAAAAAGAATATGTTGTTGGAGATGGATTTAGAATCGCTGCTGTCCACACAGTTTAGAATCTCTATAATTTATCTTCTAATATGTGAAGTCATTAAGAAAAGGGATTAGTAGGGAATGCCACCTGCATTCAATTTCTCAAATTCATGTCAGCCAAAAGTGGCTTTTCGGTAAATTTATTTTCTTAGTTTTTCTTCTATTTATAATGGTCATGAATATTGTTAAGCAGATGAGTTTCTCTCGTCTTTTGAAATATGTGCATATTCCCAAAGACAATTTTTATTGTATTCTTGAATTTGAGATTTAAGGCTTTGCCTCTATGTGCTTGAGTCATATCCAGTGGGCATGGATATATTTTGGCAAAGTGGAAGAGTTTATGTAGCACAAGCTAAGACTCGATGTTGGATCATGTTCAAGGTTTTCATTAAAGCTCTTGTAACTTATGCTTTTAAACAGGCTCTTACAAACTTAGCTTTGAGAATGAAAAGTTGTTTTCCAATGTTGTGTCTTTCCCTTGGACACCTTTATCATTCATGGAAGTATTCTGAACAATTAAAAATTCAAAAACTTCCTTTGTTTTCATTGTAATATACGAACAGTGTTCGAAAATTCCAAAATGTTTTTTTGATGTTTACTAAAAAGCGGGCTGTTTTTAGAAAATTTTATTGAAAACTGTGGTTGTGTTGTTTACGAGGTCCACCAAACCTAGATTTAATACACAAAGGCAATTTTAGATATAAATAAAATCAATCATTTTAGTTGGAGCCGCGTCAATAGCAGTGGTTTTATTAAAATGGGACTAGATTGGTTGATTCAATCGATTCACCCGTTGATGGCAATCAATCCATTGACAACTGGTAAGAACTACGGTTGAATTGGCTACCTGTTCGAACTGGTTGCTGGGTCAAGAAAACAGGCAATCCAATGATCCTAACACATGGGCCTACCAGCTGCCAAGCGAAACTTCGTAAAAGTCAACATTTAGGGTGGCTCAAACACATAACCCCATGGATAGTGGTCTCACCTTTAACCACTATACTATAAGAATTCTGAATAATCCGTATATTCAATTGTTCGTAATACAAAGATTACAATCAATATTTATAGCAATCCTAAACCAAATCTATAATAGGAAATAACCATATACAATCAATCGACTATTCATAAATAACCTAATTGATATATTTCCATAGTACATAATATTCTCACATTCTCACACCCCCTGCTCAAACTCAAGGTGTTTGAGCAGAAAACACTCAGAGTTTGCCAAGAAGAAACTGAAATCGAGCAGTTGTATGAGTTTTTGTAAAGAAATCGGCAAGTTGCAAAGCCGAAGAGACGAGAGGAAGCGAGATAGAACCAGACTGTAGATACTGACGTACAGAATGTCAATCAATCTCAATGTGCTTCATTCGCTTATGAAAGACAGTGTTATGTGCAATCTAAATAGCACCGCGGTTGTCACAGTAAGGGGAGGTCGCAGAAGACTGAGGGACACCTAAATCAGTCAAGAGACAATGAAGCCAAACAATCTCAACAATGGCATGAGTCATAGCACGGTACTCAGCCTTAGCAGTGAAACACACAATAACAGTCTATTTCTTGCTCGTCCAAGAAATCAAGGAATCGACAAGAAACATGCAGAAGCCAGAAGTGGACTTGCAATCAATGACATCACCAGCCAATCAGAATCAACATAAGTGACTAAGTCCAAAAAGGAAGTAGAAGACAACAACAAACCTTGAAATATAGTACTCCAGAGATAGCGAAGAAGCCGAACCAAAATAGCCCAATGTATAGAACGAGGAGCAGAAACGAACTGACTAACCGCATGAACAACATAGGCAAGATCAAGGTGAGCAACCATCAGATAGACTAAGCAACCCATGAGCTCTCGATATAAAGTAAGATCATCCAGAAGAACGGCATCAGTAATGGTGAGCTTTACATTAAGCTCAATGGAGGTAGTAGTAATCTTAGTGTCAGTAAGATCGACACAATGAATAACCTCATTGGCATACTTGGCATGTGAAACAAAGTAGCCCTTGGGAGAAGAAGCTACCTCAATACTTAGAAAATACTGCAATGGGCCTAGATCTTTCATTTCAAAGGTACGGAAAAGATGCTGCGTGACCTCAGATATAGAAGAAGAGTCAGAACCAGTGATAATCGTATTATGCACATACAGTAATAATGCAACAAATCCAGTAGAGGTGTGGAGAAGAAATAAAGCAGAGTCCTAGGCACAAGAATGAAACCCAAGTTCAGTAATAGCAGTCTGAAAGCGATCATACCATGTACGAGAAGATTGTTTCAAACCATACAGAGCATGCCGAAGGCAACAAATCTATCCAGAGAAATGGTGAAGGCTGGGGGGAGGACACATGTAAACCTTCTCAGTGAGATGGCCATTAAGAAAAGCATTCTTAACATCCATTTGATAAAGAGGGCAAGAATGAACAGCAGTGACAGAGATCAAAATACGAACAGTAGTCATCTTGGCAACAGGAGCAAAGGTCTCCTCATAATCAATACCATACTCCTGTGAGAAACCTATGGCAACCAGACGAGCTTTGTAGCACTCAACAGAACCATCAGAATGAGTCTTGACTTTATAGACCCATTTGCCACCAACCAGATTCCTATCAGCAGGTAAAGGAACCAACTCCCAAGTACTAGTGTTCTGTAAAGCAGAGAACTTATCCTCCATATCTTGAACCCAATTAGGATCCTGACAGGCCTCCTTATAAGACTGAGGTTCTACAAAAGAGTGAATAGCAGACAAAAAAGTACAATAGGAAGCAAAAAAAATATGTATTAGACCAATCCAACCTGTTTGGAGGATGACGCGCTAAAGTAGGATATTAGTGTGTAGCAGGATCAGAGTCCTCGGATGCAAGAGGATCAGCAGCAGGGGCAAAGATAACCGGTGGAGGAGGAGCCTAGCGACGAGAATAAACTAACAACGGAGGAGGAGAAGAAACCGAAGGAGGAGAAGCAACTAGAGGTGAAGCAGGAGGAGAAGATGAAACAAGCTCAGGAGGAACTATAGAGATATACTCATCAGACAGGACCTTAGAAGGAAATGGATCAATATGTACCAAATCCTCTTTGGAAACTGGGGCGGTGAGAGGAAGAAGCTGAAAGTAAGGTAGACGTTCAAGAACGGAAACATGGCGGGAGACATAAAGGTGACGGAAAATAGGGTCATAATAGGGATAACCTTTCTGAGTGAGACTATAACCCAAAAAGACACATAGGACAGACCGGGCACTAAGTTTGGTCCTATCTTTATGGGGTAAAAGAACAAAACAAGCAGACCCAAATACACGAAGGAGGGAGTTATTAGGAAGTTGAGAAAACAGAGCTTCATAAGGAGATCGACCAAAAAGAAGAGGGGTAGGCATACGATTAAGAAGAAAAGCAACAGTAAGAACTGACGTACTCCAAAACGGAGCCGAAACGAAGGTAGAGAGAATGAGAGACCTAGCTGTCTCAAGGAGATGGCAGTGTTTACGCTCAGCTCGACCATTTTGGATAGGTGTATCAGTACAAGAAGTTTGGTTAATAGTACTTGTAGCCCGGCTTTTTCGCGCCTCCTTTCGGAAACTTGAAAAGATAGCCCTACAGTTCGGACTCTCGTGGTTTTGGATGTAACCTCACAAGTGCAATGTGAAATTGATAAACACTAAAGAGTCCAAATTTGGCAAATCTTTTTGAAAAATTGATTTTGAATTAAAAATGTCAAAATTAGACTGCTTTGCCAGATACAAAATCGCCACCTAAATATTTTATTTTTGGAGAAATTTAAGAAATCCATGACTCGTGCCAAAGGCCACATGTCCATCATCACTAAAGTTGCCTCGGCTCAGGAGCTTAGGTACAAGAGGGGAAGGTCATGAATTGAGCACCGCCGCTCGCTCGATCAAAGATCGGCCTTTACTAATCATGATATGATTTTTTATCAACATTATGCATTCTTATTCCGGTTGTTAGGCTAGCTTTACTATGTGATACGCACAAGCAAGTATATACTAAAATTGCAAGAATTGGAACAATTCAATTTCATGTTTGTTTCTCGAAAAGGATTTGAATTTGCCACCTCAAGTGGGCTTAAAGTTTGCGAATTTGCCACCAAACATAGTGGGCTTAAAAGTAATTTGTCACTCAACAAAGTGGGCTTAAAACATACATTCGTTGAATCGTTCCAATTCAAGCAACTAGCCTTCATCCACAGGCATTCAAGCATTTTAGCAAGTAAGCATTTAGCCTCATGGCAAGCATGCTAGATATTGCAACATTCACATTCATACAAGCGAGTAAAGGCTCACCTAGTACTCCAGCCAAAACAGAAACTAGTTAGAAAGATGCATGATCCTAACTATGCAACATAGCTAATGCAACACATGCGATATGCAATTATTTGGCTCGGCTACTAATATGGTATATGAATCAATTTGATAACATGTGGTCTAAGCACATATTCAAAGAAGGTATTGAAATAACAATGCAGTTTGAATGATGCGCCCAGCCTTGGTGCATGCAAAACAAGATCAATGTATGCATGTATAAGGTATGGTAATTGAAACGTGTCCCTAATCTAACCATCAAAAGCGATATCAATTTTGGAAAGCGTGGTGTTGTGTTGGTACCTGCGTGGGGAGTTTAAAAGGTGCCCTAATGCCCTGTCTAAGCTTATCGCTGGACGAATGTAGGAAAAATATTTTTGGGTGTCCACACAGTCCTGCCGTATAATAGCCAGCGAAAATGGAAAAACGGATGGTTTTCTTGGGTGCCCACTTCTTGCCGTATAATAGCCGGCAAATGTGGGGGATGGCTTTTGAAACAAAAGCAACTTATGTTGGACTCTTACATGAGACTCATGGTTTGTTTTCCATTGATGTGATTGTTTAACTGTTGTGTTGTAAAGGCGTGAAATGTAATGGTCCATGCTTAATCGTTATGTATTTACATAATTAATGAAGATTGCATGTGTCCATAACTCCTTATTATGTTTTGTCTCAAGGGTGCCATAAATTTATTCGAATGATTAAATACTTAGCTAAATGTATTCCTACTGGGCATATAGCTCACCCCTATTCTATTTTTTCAGGAAATAATGTTGTACAACTACAGTGGTGACTTGAAGTAAGTTGTTTTGGGATTGACAATTAAGAATATTTGGCTTTAAAGACTTAGAGTTTGTAACAGGGATGTTAGACTTATTTTGTTGTTGTCTTGTACACCCATGGGGTTCTTCTATTGTAATTGTCATCTTGTTTGTAGAACTTGGAGTTGGGTACAAGATTTTAAAGACATTTAAATAGAGAAGTTGTAAATTTTAATTTTTAGTTCAGTGAAAAGGATGGCTTTAGGGTGTGTTGTTATATTCGTTGCGATGGATTCATGCATGAAATAGCAGGGTGTTACATAAGTGAACAAAACTGCGAGTAAGCTGTTGGAGAAAACTTTAATTTCACAAAAATGAGTAAGTTTTCATAACTCACGTAAGTGATTTTACAAAAATACATAAATTAACACAAAATTCACATAAGTTTGTTCCCAAAAATTTGGAACAAAAGAAAAATGTGTAAGTTTTCCAAAATTACTTCACTGATCTCACAAGAATGTGTAAGTGAACACAAATATGAGTAAATTCTTAGAGAAAACTATGATTTCACAAAAATGTGCAAGTAAACACAAAATTCGAGCGAGTTTGTTCCTAAAAATTTTTAATAACACAAAAATACGTAAATTTTCACAACTGATGTAAGTGATTTCCCAAAAAATGCGTAACTGATCAAAAAAATGAGTAAGCCCTTGGATAACACTTTTATTTCACAAAATTGCGTAAGTTTTCACAAAATCGCATAAGTTGTGTCACAAAACTCAGGATAGTTAACACAAAATGTTATGTAAGTTTGTTCCTAAAAATTTTCAACAACACAAAAATACGTAAGTTTTCACAACTAACATAATTGATTCCCCAAACAATGCGCAAGTGATCACAAATACGAGTAAGTCCTTGAAGAACACTTTTATTTCATAAATTTACGAAAATTTTCATAAAATCATGTAAGTTGTGCTACAAAACTCAGGGTATTTAACACAAAATTTGTGTAAGTTTATTCCTACAAATTTTCAACAACACAAAAATGCATAAGTTTTCACAATTGACGTAAGTGATTTCCCAAAAAATGCATAAGTGATCACAAGTATTAGTAAGTCCTTGGAGAATACTTTTATTTCACAAATTTGCGTAAGTTTTCACAAAATCACATAAGTCGTGTCACAAAACTCAGGATAGTTAACACAAAATGATGTGTAAATTTGTTCCTAAAAAATTTTTAATGACATAAAAATGCGTAAGTTTTCACAACTGATGTAAGTGATTTCCCAAAAAATACGCAAGTGATCACAAATACGAGTAAGTCCTTGCAGAACACTTTTATTTCACAAATTTGTGTAAATTTTCACAAAGTTGCATAAGTTGTGTCACAAAACTCAGGGTAATTAACACAAAATTCACGTAAGTTTATTCCCAAAAATTTTCAACAAAACAAAAATGCATAAGTTTTCACAACTGATGTAAGTGATTTCACAAAAATGTGTAAGTGATCACTAAAACGAGTAAGACCTTGGAGAACACTTTTATTTCACAAATTTGCGTAAGTTTTCACAAAGTCACGTAAGTTATGTGTCACAAAACTCAGGAAAGTTAACACAAAATGATGTGTAAGTTTGTTCCTACAAATTTTTAACAACACAAAAATGCATAACTTTTCACAACTGACGTAAATGATTTCACAAAAATGCGAAAGTGATCACAAATACGAGTAAGTCCTTAGAGAACACTTTTATTTTATAAATTTGTGCAAGTTTCACAAAATCACGTAAGTTGTGTCACAAAACTTAGGATAATTAGTACAAAATGATGCGTAAGTTTGTTCCTAAAATTTTCAACAATACAAAAATGCGTAAGTTTTCACAACTGATGTAAGTGATTTCCCAAAAAATGCGTAAGTGATCACAAATACGAGGAAGTCCTTAGAGAACACTTTTATTTCACAAATTTGCATAAGTTTTCACAAAGTCACGTAAGTTGTGTCACAAAACTCAAGATAATTAACATAAAATTCACGTAAGTTTATTCCTAAATTTTTTTAACAAAACAAAAATGCATAAGTTTTCAGACGTAAGTGATTTCACAAAAATGCATAAGTAATCACAAATACGAGTAAGTCCTTGGAGAGCACTTTTATTTTACAAAATGCATAAGTTTTTACAAAATCACATAAGTTATGTCACAAAACTTAGGATAGTTAACACAAAATGATGCGTAAGTTTGTTTCAAAAAAATTTCAACAACTCAACAATGTGTAAGTTTTCACAACTGACGTAAGTGATTTCCCAGAAAAATGTGTAAGTGATTACAAATACGAGTAAGTCCTTGGAGAACACTTTTATTTCGCAAATTTGCGTAAGTTTTCACAAAGTCGCGTAAGTTGTGTTACAAAACTCCGGGTAGTTAACACAAAATTCATGTATGTTTATTCCTAAAAATTTTCAACAATACAAAAATGCATAAGTATTCACAACTAACGTAAATAATTTCACAAAAATGCGTAAGTGATCACTAATACGAGTAAGTCCTTGGAGAATACTTTTATTTCACAAATTTGCGCAAGTTTTAACAACGTAACATAAGTTGTGTGTCACAAAACTCAATGTAGTTAACACAAAATGAAGCGTAAGTTTGTTCCTACAAATTTTCCACAACACAAAAATGCCTATATTTTCACAACTGACGTAAGTGATTTCACAAAAATACGTAAGTCAAGACAAATATATCCTAGTCGTTGGATAAATCTTTGACTTCACACAAATGAGCATGTTTTCACAACTCACAGAAATGATTTCACAAAAATACGTAAGTTAACACTAAAATCATGTAAGTTTGTTCCCGAAAATTTTGAAGAACACAAAAATGCATAAATGAACACCTTTACGAGCAAGTCATTAGAGAAAATTTTGATTTCACCAAAATGTGTAAATTTTCACAATTAATGTAAGTGATTCACAGAAAATTCGCGTAAGTTTGTACCCATAAAAATTTTGAATTTCACAAAATTGCAGGAGTTTTCACAAACACTAGTAAGTGATCTAAAAAAAAAGCATAAATGTACAAAATTTTGTATAAGTCGTTTGAGAAAACTTTTAGTTTACCGAAATGCGTAAATTTTCACAAAGTCACGTAAGTGATTCCATAAAAAATGCCTATGTTCACACAAAATTCGCTTAACTTATATCATACAAATTGAATAATTTCAACAAAAATGCATAAGAATTCACAAACTCACGTAAGTGGTCTAACAAAATTTTATTTATGTAACATAAAACACTACTACAAAATTATAAATAAATCACGGATTTTAAATGTGATATATGTTACTTAATCACGAATTTTTTAATTTGTCAAAGCATGATTTTTAAGATTAAGAGTCATTTTCGATCACACTTTTTGACCGTCATTAAAAGATAATTTCATCACATATTTTGACCATGATAAAAAAAAAACATTTAGAACATAGATTTTAAGTGGATTAATAACTAATAAAACCTGATATTGAACTTAAATAATTTATGATTAATAATGAGATAAGATCACAGTTATATGCATTTGTATATCACAATTAGTGCGTGTGATAAAAAAAAAAGTTCGACTTCAAAATATCACTATCAATCATAGAATATAAACCGTGATTAAAATCTGAACAGAACTAATATCTAAAATATAATCAATATTATTTGAACAAAAATTACCTTTGCCTCATAACGCTAACCACATATGAATAACTAATAACCTCATACATTTCATAAATGAAAGTCGAATGTTGAAAAAATATGTACAATAAAAGTTAAGGAATAAAAGGTTTTTTCACTGTAATCTAATGAAAAAATTAAAAATATAAAAAAAATTTAAGGAAAACTCAAATTTTAAATTTCTGTCTTCTTTGATCATATTTTGCATCTTTTCAAGCAATATTGACCTAAATAAAAATAACACAAATTAGTTCAGAGACAGCTAAAAGCCTAAGAATAAACTTACTCATTTTTTTGTTATTTAAAAACAAAAATAAAAAATTAATGGATATGCCAAAAGTAACCTCGTATACACTGTCTTCTATGCATAAAATGACATGCTTCCTCAATGTCTGCCAAACAATCAAAAGAATGTTGCTTCCTCAATGTCTGCCAAACAATCAAAAGAATGTTGCATTAAAATATTTGAAATTTTGGCATCAAGTGAGATTCAAACCATGCAAAACACAATTTAGAATTTTTTTTTTCCTAATTACCAGTTCAATAATGTTATTGTCGGTCAGGGGAACTTTCTACTTGATAATTTTTACCAAGCCTTTCTTGTGAATCAGATCCTTCACATTCTTCAAATTGGGGTATCTTCAAACACAAATATATAAAAACCATGTATCATATGACAAGAGCAACATGAAGAAGGCAAGCTAGCAATGATTTAGCTAACATATGAGTTGAATGCATTAATGCAAGGTCTAGAGATTTGGCATTCACATGACAACTTCATAGGCGGTTTCGAAAACTACAATCTGTTAGACCAACAGAATTGTTGGAAGAAACATGGTACGAAGACGAAAATGATATTTGGATAGTAACATGCTCCCTTTTCAGGTAGTAATGCCTTGCTTACCAATGCGGAATATGTCTTCATCTCTAAGATAGCTACCTTTGCATAAATCTCTGACCGCAAGCCATTCTCAAACAGCATCACTCTATCTTCTTTTGTAGCTACCTGATGTGGAGCATACCTTGACAATTCTGCAAACTTGGCTTCATATTGAGCCACTGCCATGTTATTCTACTTAAACTTGAGAAACTCCACTTGTTTCTGCCTCTGAACCACTTCAGGGAAGTATTTCTCATTAAACAGTTCCAGAAACTTGTTCCATACCAGCTCTGCTTCTCTACCCTCATATTGATGCTTCACCATGTGCCACCAATGCTCTGTTTGACCCTTGAACCTAAAAGCTGCAATGGCCACCTTTTGGTTTGCTGAACGACCTAGAAAATTAAATATTTTCTCCATTTGTAGTAACCATGCCTCTGCCTCTATAGGGTCTGCTGCTCCATGAAATTCTAGAGGTTTTGCCGTCATAAACCTCTCAAATAAGGAACCTCTATCCAAACTTAAGGTTGGTGGAACTGCTGGTTATGGGGCTATATGATTGTTCAATAATCCCAACAAGACTGTAAAACCTATGTGCTTGGTGCAATAGGAACAACTCCTAGTGCTTTAGAGGCAACTGAAGCAACAGATGGTGTAGTAGGAAGAACAGTGCCCACAACTGGCGCAGTAGTTGGCGCTACTGAATGAGGAATAGGAGCATAGGGAACTCTACGATTAGTAGCTGATTGGCCAATTCCAAGAGCATTCACACTTCTTGTGACGACCCCATCAAATATAATAATTAACATTTAATTAATTAAGGAGACTTGAATTTTAATTGCCCATTATTCTGATTTAATTTGGAAAATTGTGGAGGCAAATTCGTATATAATTCTATTAAGAATTTATTTTGGAATTAGAAATGGAAAGCCTAAATAGTTCAAGAGAGTATAATTGGTGAATTGAATTATTTTCATTTCAAATATCGGAACATATGAGAGTTTAATTAAATATTCGATTCAGATTAGTAATATTGAGATTTTATTAAGGAAGAAATCAACTAAATTTTCTGAAATTAAAACTTAAGGTATGAAATTTATGTTTAATTTGTATAGAATCTTCACATTACACTAGAAATTAAAGATGAAATTAGAATCAAAATCACGTGATTAAAAGGAATTAACAAGAAGATGAAGAAAATGGAGTTAAGTTTAAAATTATGGAAATAAATTTGGAAATTAGTTAATTTGAGTTTGATTTTTGTTATTCTTCATAAATTTAAAACTCATCCTTACATGCATCTTGGATTTCAAGATTTTAGATTTTAATTCATGCTTAAAAGACCTGTGAGTTTGAATTTGGGTTTGATATGAAGAAAATTAATAAAAATCTAAATTTGAGCAATTCGAAAAGTAAATTATGATTAGAAAATATATAATTAATTAGTTTTGATCTTAATTTCATACATGAAAATACTTTTCAAAGAGTTTTGTAACTTCAATTTCATGAATTTAAGGAAATAGAAAAGAGTTGAAAATGAATTTCATGTAATTTGAAAGGAATTAGTAAAAGGATGAAGAAATTGAATTAGATTCAAGTTTATAAAAGTTAATTTAAAAATTCCTTATTTTGGATTTGATCTTGAGAGTTATAATTAAATTAAGCTTCATGAGTTACATGTAATTTCATTGCACATTTAATTTTGAAAAAGAATTTTAGAAAAAAAACATGAGTTCGTGGGTTTTGATTTTGAAATGAAGTAAGGTTTTGATTTAAATAAATTAATTATTATGCTTCCAGATTTTGAGTAAATGATTTATAACTAAATAAGTGTTAATGTTTTCTAAAGTATTTTCGAGTTTGGATCAAGATATGTATGGGTTTAAAGATTGAAAATGCATTTGGAAGCCATTTTTGAGAAATTTGAAACTCTGAAATTTTACAAACTCCTCGAGTGGACTAATTATTGCTCGAGCCCACATTGAAGGCTTCTAGTACTTTTGCAGTCTTTACAGATCGCTCAAGCGACAAGCAGTTCGCTCAAGCAAACAACTCTTTTTCAGCATATTTTGGAAAAATGGCATTTAGTTCATATTTTTAATCTCATCTCTTTCTAAGCATTCTTAGGCAAGAATTCTGACTCAACAAGATTAATAAACTAACAATTAACATAAATTAGTTGGTTAAGGAATAAATCACTAATTTAGTAATAATTGACTAAGAAGCCAACTAAGAAATCGATCTATTTGGAAGAAAAAGATTTGGTAATGAAAGAATATGTGAAATAAGAACTCGATTCATTTGAATAAGAAAGAATAACCATAGTACAACTTCGGATTACTTAGACAGAAAATGACAAGAGAAGTCAAGTTTGTTCAAGAAATGATATTGTGTTTCAATGTGTATATGTTGTGTTTGTGTAAGTCACGCGCTATCGTTTGCCTAATCTGTCTGATCTGTCTAATCTGTCTAATTTGCTTCTGGAGCTATCTGTGAGTAACAACTCTATAAAACTATATTTGATTATAAGTATTTTCTGACTAAAATGATATGATCTGTTTTCTAAATTGCTATTTTATGAATTATAAATGAATGACCATTTTTCTGAAATATATTCATGGCATCCTTAGCATCAAGTGATATCTGTTATCTACTCTGTATACGTCTCACGGAATTATGAGTCAATTGAACGTCTCATGTAATCATGAGTCAACTATACGCCCCATGTGATCATGGGTCAACTATTATGGATCCTTATAAATGTCTCTGTACACATGAGTCAATTGTTTACGTCGCATATAAATGGGTCAACTTTAAGTTTTTCTATGACTTGGAATTGATAAACAACTAAGTCAGCCGATAGCTCAGTGAGTAGAAACATGGATAGTAAATACAGTTTTGAAAACAAGGTTCAATTCCAAAATAAGATATATATCACAAAAACTAGATTGTCATACAGTTTTGATAAAGACAATCTACTTCAAAAAGAAGGTTCCATAGTTCAACAGTTAAAATATTCATGTCTTTCAAGAACATAGCAGATGACATTCTCCACTTAAAACAGATTACAACATGATCATCAATAATTTTTTTGGTACCAAGAAAAACAAGTAACACGCCACAAAATTCTCAAGGCAATAAGCCTGTTGGATCCAATATTGAACCAAGAGTCATCCTCGGGGTGGCATCCTAGGCCCTTTCTCTAAGACGATCCGATTAAAGGTCACCTAGCCTAGCCCAGGTCTTTTCCTTACAATTACGGGTGTGCATAATACCGCCACAACCGCCAAAATCGCACCGAGCCGCACCGCCAAGACAAATTCGTTATTATTTGTCAATCGAACCGCCGATTTTTGATAAGAAAAATGGCAAATTCTAGTGACACTTTTATCAATTCGCCGGTTTTTATTTTTCTTCCAAACCGCATCGACCCGCACCGCTATTAAATCATGTTTTATAAGATTCTAAAAATTCTTTTTTACTTAAGTTTGCTTATTGTTCTATACCTTAGAATATAGTATTACATTACTGATCGAGGGGAATTCAAAATGTCAGTAATCCAAAATAAAGTTGGATTCCAATTCACTTTTCAATCTTTTTTTTCCTGGCCAGGTTGCAAACTTGTATCAGCTCACTTTTCAATCTAAATACTTTTCAATAGTAAACATTTTCAATATATTGTAAATCCTGAATGATATTAATTTTATGTATTGTATTTGATCATTATAGCTTCCACAGATGCTTGTAATGAACTGATGGCATAGTCGTTGATATCATCATGTTTGCTACACTTGCTGCATCAGAAGAAAGCTTCGCAAGATACTTAACATCACGATATCTCTCGTCTTTTTTTTACTCTTTGATTTAAGTTTTGTAATTTGAATTATATTTTTTATAAACCGCCAATCCGCCCGAACTGCCAAGGCAAATCCGCCATTATTTGCCAACCGAACCGTCGATTTTTTATAAAGAAAATGACAAATTCTAATGACACTTTTATCAATCCGCCACCCGCCATACGATTTCTATTTTTCTCTCAAACCGTACCGACCCGCACCGCGCACACCCCTACTTACAATCGTTGAGCACTACGGTCATCACAGCATGCAACTACTCACCTAAACATGGTATAATATAATCCTCAAACCGAATAGGAAAGTCTAACTAGTACCTTGAATAAGTAACCCCAACCTAAATTACATTATCACAACTCAACCTAACTCACCGTTACTATTAAATAATACCTAAGTTTATGTTCTTCAAGGTCTAAAATTACCCAAGACATGGGTTCAGATCGAAAATTAAAAGTAACTTTAAGATAAAACAAAATTTTAAACAAGTTTTCCAATCCATTCGCTAAATTTGAAAATTTAAAACCCATTTCATACTATTAGAAAAATTCTAAAACCCTCAAGATATCAACTAATATATCCAAACCCTCAAGATATCAACTAATATATCCTAAGTTTCAAACCCATTTGGTTTTACTTGATTTGCTTATAAAAATAATTATTTACAATTGATCATATCCAAACAGGTCGCTTTCTGCAGCACTTTAAAGAAATTAATGGGTTCTCTTAATATACCTAAGAAATCAATGCAAGGCCAAAAATTTAAGAAACTAGACTTGTTATCGGTTCTAATAACACTGATTTGATAATTTTCGAATTTATACGCAAAGAAATCGACACTTCCGAATTTACTATTCTGTACTAGTTTCCTGGACAAATTTGAATGCATCAGTTTATATGGATTTTGACTCCCAAAAATTATAAAATAATTCTGGCATGAAATTCAATATTTAATTAAGCTACTGTAAAAATTTCAGTTCAAAATTCATTTGTTTGATATGATTTCTTGATTTTTAATGTTTGTGTTTGTGTGCAGAATTTTTTTTTTTTTTTTTCTCTTTGGACTAAGAATTACACCCATTATTTCTCATCACCAACCACTTGGCACCCAAACAACACACCCGTTTCTCTTATTCCTTCCCAACAAGAAGTAGATTACACACATGAACCATCACAATATAAAAATATAATAAAATAGGAATACCCACCGATATTGCTGAAAATTTCTCTCCAATCTCTCTCCTCTCTCTCTCTCTCACGACTGCTGCTATTTTGCGGTGAACAAATAAGAGAGATTATGGTTTTATTATTATTATTATTAACCTTTAATATCGTGTGTTTAAAATAAATTAAAATACCCTCTAACAATATTTAATTTGTACTTTAGAATTCACCATTAAAATATTTAAGATTGTAAAATTATTATCATTTAATTTTTTTACTTTATTTTTATATTCGGGTTCTCGCAACACTCATTCGTCTCTTTTTCTCTGGCTCGACTGACTACAGGTTCTAAGTGGCTGTTCAGCTTAAAACCCTAATCTAACCTAGTGAGCCTTCGTTTTGGTTTCTGAGAAAACGAAGGAAACTTTTTTTTTTTTTGAAGAGCAATCAACAAGGTATCCATTCCTCTAATTATTTCTGAAACCCTAAACCCCCTTCTAAAACTATCTTCTTTCCCCTTTTTTGAATCCAAATCAAATAAACAAAATAAATTACTTACAGTATTTTTACCGAAATAACTTATGAACAATAATGATCAAGTCAAGTGTGTGACATTCTGTCCTTAAGACAGATTCGCCCCACTCAAGCGCTTACGGAATTATGACATCTATCTCCTAGGATACAATGATTTTACACAGATTGCATTAGCACTAAAAACAATTTGTTCCGACAAACTAGAACCTGTGTTCTATACTCAGAAATTTCTCTAAAAACTAGTATAACGAATAATGCAAAGAGAGAGCAAAAACGGGAAGAGAATTAAATTTATTTGGATGATCAAATCTGCTGGAATGATTCTGTATTTATAGGCATAGTTGGTGGCTGTTGAAAGAGCCGAACATGCATGATTTCAAACGAAATAGGTCTGATTTGAAATTGAATAGGTGCAAACTGTTGAAACAGTTTTTGAATCTGTCTGGGAAGAAACTAAATCTATACAAGGTAATTTGTTAAACCAGGTTGAAAATCTGTTTGTATCTACTTGGACTAGTTTGGAAAAGACACATTGGGTGGGAGGAAAAAAATTGAATTCAATTGGTGCAAAATTCAAATCTTTTCCTGCAAGAATTTTTTTTTTTTTTTGAAAAATTCAAATAAACTTTGTCCAAAAAATTATTGCTAGGACCCAATCCACAAACCGTACTCGGCCTGGCTCAATCAGCTGGACAGACGGACGGCAATGACGCACATGTGTGGTGGTTTGAGCCAAAACCCACTTTGTCTATAACTCCTCCCTTCTACAAACTTGGGGTGGCCCCCAAGTTTGTCCACCTAGAGCTTACATACTCACATAAGCTCTCTTAAAGTTTCAATGTGGGACAACCATTTTAAGGTAACCCACATTTAACTCTAATTTCCCATTTCAACGAACTCGAAAATGACGTCCACTTCCCATTCACTCATAAATGGCTATGATGTCTTTACCGTGTGGCAAGAAACACGTCACCTCTTTGGACCCACCCCAAAAGACGTGGGCCCCACTCAAATTTGGCCTCAAAGTTGGCCCAAAATAAGCCTATAAAAACCAGAATTTCCAACAAAACTTTACTCTCTAATTTTTACCCTATTTTCTATCTCTAGTGTTCTATCTGAATTTCTACTCTAGTCTCTCTTGGCTCACACTGATTCGAAATTTGTACTGAAACAAGGTTGGGTAGGATTTTGTTCTATTTTGCTATTTATATATCCCGGTTGACATTCTTAATGAAATAATCCATTTTTACATTAATTAATATAGTGTTTTGTAACCATGTTGTTGCTTCCATGACTTGTTCTTGAATTGTTCCAAAATATTTCATGAGAAATTTTGGTATTAAAATTATAGAGCAAATTATGTTATTTGAATTTTGATTGCATTTAAGATGTTTGTAAAAATGCCTAGTTCGTTAGAAATTTAAACAAAAGTTTTTTGAAACTACATTTTCATTGCATTTAGATGTTGAAAACTTGTGATTGACTTAACATGTTCACAGAAGATTAATCCCAAAATATATTTAGTGATATTCACATGAAGTAACTATAACTTGTGGTTGGGACCTCCCAACTATAATTGCAGGGTGATAAGCACTTACCACTAAAGAAAAGTGTAAGGCCTGCAAGAAGACAGGTATATTTGATTGTTCGGCCAACCGGGCAACATATGTAGGAATGGAGCTGCGGATAATTGTAGAGGCCACTTCAACACTACCCATAGCCGTATCAGCATTGGTTATCTGCCGATCCTTCAAGGCGGGTATGGGGATGATTAGGGATTCCACGGCCGCTATCTCTGAGGCAAAGGTTGGAGACGACACAGCAATAGTGGAAGAATCTAATCGGCTCTTCTTTCGGATCTCTACTGATTAGTTAGGAGGACACTTACCTGATCTCTGGCCAAAGGTTGGGGGCAACGTTCTCAACAATGGCCATGATAAGAGAAGAAAATGAATCATCTACCACCACGATTGGTGATCGTTAGGATCGATCAGATGCAGTAGGATCAGAAACAACCTGGGAGGCTAAGGGCGACTCAGTAGCCCTTTGATGCTTTCTGGCAACAACAATCTCACAAAAAAAATTGGGTGGCATGGCATGATGTCTGAAATAGTAGCCTCTAAACTACATGACTCTTCTTCAGGTTGTTCTTCTTCAAGTGCTACTTCCTCGATGTTCTCCCAAAGATGAGGAAGAATATAAAAATCAAAGCCACCGTCAGCACTAAGGTCTATACCGTCTGTCACGATCATGGTACCATAGTAAGGGATGTAGGAAAGTAGCACGTGGGCAGCCTGACCTTGGCCTTACTGTTCTGGTGGCCCTTTGTATGACCAAGCTTGTTGTATAGAAGGGGGGAGGTTCACTTGATCTTCCCACTCGCTAGGATTAGAAAAGACCTCAGGAGCTGCAAAAAATGACAAGAAAGCATTAACAAACTAAAGTCATAAAGGACGACATCACAGGCAAGTAGAAAGACAAAGGATAACTTGGTCAGCCAGTGACCTTGAAGATAGGTCAAATTCGATTAGCACTAGGAGGGAATTCCCAATTCCCCTCTATTATTACAAACAAATCAGTGACATCCTTGCCAAAGTCAAGAAGCATCTGAACAAGTTGACGCTTCGCTAATCTGGGCTTGAAGTAAAACTTCGACCTTTCTTTGGAAGTAAAGACAAAATTATAGCAATATCTAATCTCCAAAAGGCCTAGATTGATCCCTAAGATATCGTTCAAGGCAACCAAGCCCATAACTATTCTAAAAAAGTAGGGCGAAAGCTATGAAGAAGGTACCCCATAAAAATGAAACACCTCTTTGAGAAGAGGATGTAGGGGGAATCAAACTCCCCCCTAGACTATGTTTATCAAAGGGAGAGGAATTCGTTCCTCA